AAAATTTTAACCATTCTCCAAAGAGAATCTATTCCTTGCTCTGCCCGACATTCACACGCTGTTATCAGCATGATCAGTGTTAGCGCACGCAAACACCTCTTATTTTTCTCCGGCGTCCTATTAGTCCTCATGAATATCCTTAATTTATATTATTACTCCTCCAGCGGGCGCTTGCCCCTTGCAAAGAAATATCTACCGCGTCCTTTGATAATCCCCTATTACTATTTAGTCAACACCAGCATGTCATCCAGCGTGATAGAATTAAGTGAAGTGAACGCCGAAGTTCTCCGGGAAGTAGCCCTACCGGTGTGGAATGATACAACAGAAAAAGTGGCCATTATTGTACCCTACAGAGGACGGATGAAACATTTGTTTAATTTTCTCATCCGTATGCTGCCCTTCCTGAGCAAGCAGAGGAAGCAGCCTGTTATAATTCTCACGGAGCAGGAGGGCGATGGCGCATTCAATCGCGCCAAACTTTTCAATGCCGCCATCAAGGAGATAAGAGAAAGTGTTCCGGGTGACTTATTGCATGGAATAGACTGCTTCATCTTACATGATGTGGACAAGGTACCAACTTCACCATCTATCCTCTACGAATGTGGACAGAACGTCCGGCAGTTGGTTACCGTATGTCGATCGAAAGCACACAAAGGCAGGTGAGATAAATGCTCTCCAGTGTTAACCGAATTTTTAATGGTTCATTACATCCTGTATTCTCATTAATTATTGCACGACACCCAACCTCAGAAGCAGTTTTATAATTAAAAAATTACATTTGCTCTTAAAAATTGAAACATGCGGCACAGTCAACCCTTGGCTTAACCATGCCAAAATCTTCTTGGTGTTTGTAAATACGCTATGAGACTGTTGTAAATATTTCAAAGAAACCATTTGATTCAGAGGGGTTTCTGCTTGTATGTTCGCAGACAGAACACTACCAACTTAACCAATATGTTCGAATGCGTATAGGAGAGAGCCCGTCGAGTCAAAGTCTTACTTTTGTGTGTGAAAGTTTAATTTAGGTTCCACTATAGTTTAAATAATTTAAAGTTTGGCAAGCAAAAAGCGCGCCATAAATAGTTTATTTATAGGTTCTAGTGTTTCTCTGTTTAGCTTTATTTTAGATTTAACTTTCTTTTCATTTAGATAGTGTTTAGTTTATTCATTAGTTCAGTTTTAGATTTATCAGCCAGGTGTGATTACCTTTGGAATGAAAATCTTTACTTATTTACCTTACCTTATTGTAGTTAGCGTGGTTCATTTAACTTATGTATATTTTCGTTCAGGTTTTAGTTTAGTTTTTAGTTCTTTATTTTGTTTTATTAGGTTAAGATTAGTTTTTAAGTTTTTGTTAGATTAGCTTAAGATAGTTAACCCTTCGTTGGTTAGTTTAATATAGTCTTAATTAAATTTGCTGTTTAATTTTAGATTTCTTAGTGGCATAAGGTTTTTATATTATTTTTTACTTCGCTTTAGGGTAATCTCGGAAATTGTGTAGTTTTTTGCCTTGTACCGCAAAGCTGGGCAGCGCTCGATATTTGCGTAGCTGCACGTTTCAATTATGCTGCGCTTTTTGTTGCCAAACATTATATTATTTCAATAATTATTTTCTACTTCTATATCGTCTACTTTTTTAATTCTGTTTTTTTCTGATATGCTCTACCCATTTAACGCTTATTATCGCCTGTCCCGTGTTAATTAAGGATGGGGTTTTCACGAGCCGTACTGGAAACTAGCTTGAACTTCTAGCCTTTTGTGAATGCAAAGTAAGCTATTATTGTAGAATACTAAGTAGGTCCTCTTGCTTGTGCCTGAAAATAAATAAATAACGATTCAGGAAATATTGCAAACGGTGAAAAAAATATCAGTTATTTCGTCTTACCGTAAAAATAGTAAATAAGGCGGAAAAGCTTTAAAGGAAGACCTGTCAGAGCACTAACAGAGCAGAATCTTCGTTTGATTTAGATCTAACTGGTTGTTGTATGTAGCTGCGAGAATGAATTGTTTTGACATTTTGCCTCCTTATACGGAGAGTGCTCCACCGTTGGCGAAACAGCAATCTCCATTTAAAAAGTAAGCCTTAGCATCCACCGTATCTGTAAATGCTTCCGAAAGTATGGTTCTGAAGGTTTAGATAATGATATAACAACTTACAAGCGATTAGAGACACTAGAAACCATAAAATCTTTACTGGCTTTTCAAGGACACTATGAAACTCCGCGGACGTTTACTTAGTAAAAACTGTGTTTAAGTTTGACGGAGGATACAAAAATATGTGAATTTTTCTCAGGTGTTGTGTCCACTGAATTTCCTGTCAACCTGTGAGCTTACTGAACGATTGACATGTTTGAAGTCCTCATCAGCAAAATAAAACGAGACTCTGTTTGCATAATCCAAACACATCTCTAGTAAAATGGAAGAGGAAAAGGACTGCATTGCTGTCATCTAGTAATCAAACGAACCATAGTACAGCACATTACTGTGCACTAAAATTTGTGCCAGTTTTAATGCAACCTTGAGTGACGGAGGATATTGAAAAATTACATGAGGGAAAAAGTGTAGTGTTTTAGTCGCTGCAGTGCGTAAACCGATTTATTATTCAATTCTTTGAAGTAAAAAAATAAAGGTATTTCCGACAACTTAGCTCAATAATGTGACACAAATATTTGCCCTTCCGAAATTTCAAAAATGTGAGTTTGTACTTAACGTAAAGTATATAACCTTATTAAATTGGGATGTTGTGAAAGGGTTCACACTGGGTTCGAAACGGTTCCGACAGTTAAGTTATACAATTTAGCTTATATAATTGTGACCGGGCGCCTGTATCTCCGCTGCCCGGGAACACTTGTATATTTCCATAAAAAGTCATGATTTAGCATCGAGAAAATGTAGTTTTGGATAATATTTGCAGATTTAATAGCCGTCAAACATGGTAAATCGTTTATACGTCCATCTGCCTTCTTACCCCACAGAACAGGCTAAATAAACATTTTTAAATCGTTTAAAGCGTTACCACTCAAAAGGTTCGTATTTCAGGAAATCGTTGAGCTAACTGTGTAAATGTTTTAAGCATAAAACAGCCTTTTTCGAATCACTACCCTATCCCTCCCATAAGAGCAACATAACTAAGTTACTGAGAGATAGTGAGATGAATCATCCATGAGAATTAAAGCTTTCATGCCTTCCCATTTTGTTTCTATGCTCCAAAGCTGTACCCAACTTCAATGTTCGATATTTTTTTACAATTTCAGGCTGTACGAGGCATTTTTAGGGGGCGTGACAGCCTTCAGTTGGGAACATGTGAAAACGATAAACGGAGCCTCAAACCTCTTCACCGGCTGGGGTGGTGAAGATGATGAGCTGTTGGTGCGTCTCAAGCTAAACAATATTACGGTCGATCGGGTTAAAGGCGGGGAAGGAGTTTTTGATGAATTTGATGCAAATCATGCGCGAGAAAAAAATTCGGCCCGATATGAGCTGATTGCCGAGGAGAATGTCACGGCACGCTGGAAGGAAGATGGCCTTAATCAAACACGTTACGAACTTCTTAGCAGAATAGATTACGACCTATTTGTTTGGCTTCTTGTATCAATTTGAGTCAAAAGACTTTCCCCCGTATAATAGGTTTTCAGTTGACCTCAGGTCGTTTTGAAAGATTTATCTCTGATAATAAAACGGCCAACATATAAATTGCTTTACGGAGTGTACAGCAATTTGTATTAAAACTTGATTTATTGTACAATTGATTGCAAATTCCGAATTGCTCCCATTTATTTATCTGCCTGAACTGTGTAAACACAGGTACGGTATTGCGAGTGTTGCAAGAAACTTTCAGGACGAAATTTAACTTGGTAGTTTAGCATATATTTTGCCAGGTTATTTTGATTAACTGAGTGGATTTAATAATTAGAAAGGCTTTAGTTTGAAAACTGCCCTCTAAGTTAAAACTATGGAGCGAACTAGGCGAACTATCAATATGTATTGTGCTATCGAAGAATTCCAGGTTAAGAAAAAAAGGTGTAAAAAGTTTCCCTTCCGGAAATGGAACAATTTTGTTTGAATTTGCTCAAATGGAAGTGAAGCCAATTTTAAGGATTCAAATTTATTTTTAGAAAGAAGCAGTGATTTAAGCTTTAAAACGTATATTAAGCTAAAGTGTGAAGTTTTTTGCACAAAATGCAGCAGCAAAAACGTTTTCGTCGGAATTTTGTTTTACCGCACCGCTGTACTTGCGCATAAACAAAGTGTCCGCATATGTTACCATAAAGGTGATGTAAAGAAAGTCTTATTGAATGAAAGTCATGTAGAAATATAGTTTTTAGTAAACTCTACGTTTCGTTTATGCGTTATTTAGAAACGGAATAGACGGAAGAATAATAAGTATTTCAAAAAATAGCAATATATATGGCCAGGTTTTTTGCATTCGCAAGTTTATAACAGGTCGTAGAATTAACCCACTTACGCGGAAAATAATCCATTAAAAAGAAAAGAATAAGTTTTTTCATCTCCAGTCAAATTGAATCGTTTATCTTCAGGTAAATTAAAGAAATTGTCAAAAATCTCTAAGTTTATTGTGACATTACCATGGAACAAGTTGATATACACAGAAATTCGTCAGATGCATATCCAAATTGGAACACTTTTTAAGGAAGTAACCTATTATGGAAGGTTTTTTTTATTAATCTTAGGGAGATCAACATCAGAATTCCTTTGCGGACATTATTTATTCTCGAAAATGTGGTTTGCTGTTTTGAGGCATTTCTAAATATGAGCCACATGGGCATCTTCGTAACAATTTATATCCAAAAACACTTTCGCTCGGCAAATGCTCTTTATGTATATCTTATTTTTAAGGTTTTTGATGTGAATGTCAAACAGAAGCGGACTTTATGAATGACCACATAAAGACACTGAAAACGATGAACATTATGCAACACTATATGAAAGATATTCAATCAACAATTATCCACTAATAATAATATGTACAAAATATTTTGACTTAAGAAAAGTTCTTTTTATAGTAAGAAATTGGTTACACTCTATTTTCAACTTACGAGAAGATTTACGCTTATTTTTCTAAGTTATACGTCTGCAGAACTTGGGGATTATAGGGAAAATTTAGTTTTTCTCAATAAACACTTAGTACTTCTTATATTTCTTTAAAGTTTTAAAGTTGCCTAATGCTATTCATTATTATTTCTAACTTTTTGGCAATGTTTTCACGCCGGCATGCGAAGAACTATCAAACATTTACAAACTTAGGCAGGTTTCTTGAAGCACTCGCAATACTGTAACAAGCCACGCAACACCAGAAGAGGGCTGTGGGAAATATGAATCGATCGGATTTAAATCGTAAGTTGTCGTCAGTAGGCGTAATATAATTCATGTTCGCTACACAATCAAAAGTGTTGTACAAGTATATGCAGATGGCTGTTCGTGAAGTTCATCGGTTTGCAAAACGGAGCATCCACAAAATACCCCTTCCCACTCGAAGAATTAGCTTCCTCACCACTTGCCCCTTTTCTTTTTCATTACCATTACAAGCCTCTACTGAGAGGGCTCGAGGGAAATACCTTTTATTTTCAACATATTTCGGCAGATACGTCTTCCGTTTATTGTGGCCAGGTGATAAAGGATCAGATATTGAGAGAGAGAGAGAGAAGGTGAAAGAGACAAATTAAATACACTTATGGGGACAGTTTGAATCTCAGTCTCTGTGTAGCAGTTATGCCAAACGTACTTTACGTGCCAAAACGTATAGCACGGATCGTTGACATGCTAGGGTGCAGCAAGTAATGACCTTCAATCGACCTCGCATGAGACAGAAAGACTCCGAATCAAGTAATTCACGGCAAAGGCGATGGCTGAAATCATCCATAATTCCATCCAAAAATTGTTTGGGTAGTTTCGACTGTCGCTATTTTATTATTTCAACTAAGAGGAAACAAAAAAGCCCCCTGTAAAATAAACAACTTACTAAAACTACTAAACTGAGCATCGCAAAGCAGGAAACAAGAGGCAGATATTAGGTGTCAACCAATATCCAGATAAGGGGCTGGACTGTGTGTGATAGTAAATGATATGAATTCGACCTAAGAGGATTTTCTAATGAAGGGAGACAATCAGGAATTTGAGGACAGAACAGAAGCACGCTACGGCAAAACTGATACTTTATGGTCAGAAAATCAACAGAATTAGAGTGTCACGATCGAACCACACTTGGGACTGATTTCTAATAAATAAATGTAAAACTATTTATCAGTGACTATGCAGAAAAATGATCCAAGACACGCCTTCGGAAGATAGAAAAAAGCCAATTAATAATCCAACAATTGAGCCGCACTGGTATATGTTGTCTGGGGAAGGTGACATGGAATCCTTTTGATGATTGAGGAATGATCAAAGTATGGCAACCCCCTTAACGTTTACTTAGACCATGTTACAGCAAAGGACCAACCGCATACCAACCAAATTTGTCTATCGTTGTATGTAAGTCAAACAAATCCCCAAGCTATATAAGCCAGTAAAAGTGAAAAGAAAGCAGTTGGCTACAAAAAACAACTTCACGCCTATTTATTATTCAAAGTCGTTGCATGTTACTAAATGGGCGTATTTTTTTAATTCAGTATCCAACAAAAAGACCTCTGTTAATTAATAACTACAGTCAGGAATCTTTAAGCAATAGCTTAGTGGCGGTACTGTTAACTCCTTGGAGGGAAACTGAAGAGTTGTGAGACTTATGATCATTCTGAGGTAATTGGATTAGACTTATGTCAACAACAGTGTCTACAGGGAAACTACTGCAGGACCTCGTGTCGAACATGTGGAGCAGGCGATTTTGAGGGGTTGGACCGAAAACGTTCGTCACCGCTACTGTCTGGCAGGTGAGGGTTCCTCGAGGATTTCTGTTCACGAGATGGAGACCGGCAGTGATGGGTACTGGACCAGCAGGTGTGGTGAGACCAGCAGTAACGGTCAGTTGCGTCTGGGTCTCAACCTGCAGGTGGAGACCTCGAAAAGTTATTAAGGGAAGGCCGTCGATGGTTATAGACACGAATACTACGAAGCTGGGAAACTTGCCGTAAGACAACATCTAGACTTTTCATGACATTCACGAGGGTGGATGTCGTTGGCGCGGATATAAGCATTGACTGTAACAGAAGCAGGTGAAATCTGCTTAAAAAATACGATCAATTCCGAATAAAAGCTCACAGATCGGTTCCGGTACTCAGTTGTTCCGTTCTGCCTTGTTTCTAATTCTCGAGCCCCGCGAGCGGCCGCACAGCAGCCAGAATGATAGGCAGATGAAACATGTTGACAAAGACAGAATGAGTATTCATAGTTAAAGTTGACCCAATTGTAAAAAAACTCGAGGCGCCGGCGGA